TGCCAGAACGCTCGCTTCTAGTCAGAAAACAAAACTTCCGAATTCGAGTCAGCGTAGCTGGTGTCGCGGAGCGGTGGAGACGGGCGAAGGAGATGTGTCAAGAGAAGAGAGCCAATTTGCGAGAGAAGGGAAAGGAGTTGCGATATAGTAAAGAGAGGGAAGGATATACGGTGGGAAAGCGACCTTGAAAACCAAAACACGTGGGAAGGAGGCAGGTCGGGCAGGTTGCTTGAAAGGTCCGCGAAACGCGCAATTCGTGCGTAGAATGCACGCACAGAGGTCTAAGCATGGCCACCTGGATCGGCGCACGCCGCAGTCTTCAGAGAATCAGTGGCCGTGGTCAGAGAATCGTTTTGTTGCGCCGGCGGGTTTGCATGGCCTTACCGACTTCGATATTTTGCGATTTGTTCCGCACAAACTGTAATAATCATTTTAATATTCGAAGCATACGAACATTCGCACAAGCCAACCCAAGCAAACGGGCACTGCCTTTCATGCAGAATCGAATGTTTGTTCGGTATCTGCGACTCAGGAACAGACCGAAGGTTATTGGCAGAAGTTACACTGTTAAATTTGTCGCTCATAAAATTAAGTGTTTCCAATTGCTTCAATTGAGGTAACTAAAAATTACATATTCTGGCATCCGCTGGACTATCAAGATGAAACTTGTTGCAGAAGCTCTCTTTCAACTTACATTTAAAAAAACCTCATTTGAAATGAGCTCATTCAAAAACAGCTTTCACATATTTTAATAGTAGAAATAATTCAAATCTTTCAGGTAAGTAAATGTAAATGCATTTTTCGTAAGTCTCAACTGCAGAGATTTTTTTTTTACCTTCCTTTTCCATGTATAAACAGCTGTGCTCTTCTTGTCCTGTGCCTGTGCTTTCTCTTCTCTTATTTTTCAATTTTCATGAAATGCTAAAAATGCACGAAAAGCTGATTTTCCGACTAGCCCAGCTTTCTGCTTTTAGTAATGTGATTGTGCATTTGTTTGTCATTTGTACATGCCTTTGCTTTCACAATCAGACATACACTCTACACGCTTTTAGCAAATGATGCTTAGCTTATAGTCTCGCACACTTTACCTAACTGCCTTCTTAAAGTCTGCATGCTTTACTCATGTTGCCCCGAGAGTTGCATGTTTTACAATAGAAAAGCGGCTGTTCTTGTCAATTGCTTCTCTGCACTTAACCTTGGCACAAGGTCATCAGTGCAGTTTGCTTGCGTTTGTCAAACTGCTTTCCAGCTAACATTTGAGAGACCATTTCCTCTAGGTCTCTCGATGGGTGTCCACCCAGGCAGCTTGCTTCACACAGCTTCATCAGGCCTCTACGCTCATAACTTAGCTGACTACAATGACATCGGTAGCGAGGACGATGACTTCAGTTGCTCAGAACTGGAGCGAAACTTGCACTTGTGATGAAGCTGCTTCATTAGGGTCTCATATTTCCCCACAAATTTTGTTCTGTGCCACCTACGACATTGTAGAAACTGAATTTCTTTTTAAGTACTATTTCAATGTGTATTTATGTCACATTCCAAGTGCACTATAAAGTTATCTTGGGTTCACTTTTGCCTTCTTGGTGGGTATCTTGTGATGCGCTTTGTCTAGGTATCATTTAACAGAGTGCAGGCTTTTTTCGTTGTCGACAGGGCTTGACCCAAAAAGTAGCGTTGCGATTTTGTGCACAACTGATGAAAATGATCCTTCTTGGAAATATGTCAAGCCAGGCAGGTTAATATTTTTTTTCCTCATCACTGTAGTTAAATAGCATCTCTGTTGTCATGAAACAAGAATTTAGAACCTTGTGCTTTCCCTGGTAATTTTTCAGTAGCAGGCATTTAGTGTCCCATCACAAGGATAAAATTAGGCTCAGTCATATGATAAGTATTGTGATACTTCAGACATTTAAAACAAAGGATTAATTTTTTAGGGCAAGGCTGAGTTCACAGATGTCTGAATAAGTTATAATTAAGTTATCAACTCTAAATTGGTGTTGTAATTGGACTTTTGTGTATGCGAGCTTGGAAGGACTCCTCATTTAATTTCTTTACTTGAATTACTAGTAATCATTCAAAACAAATAGGCAAGCTTTAAAAGGGCCACAGCTAATAAAGCATTACTCTACGTGACTAGTGCAGAAGCTATTGTGCACAATCAAAGATCGCAGACTGGCTATTGCCTTATCTGGGATGTCAAAGAAAAATTTATTTGTCCTTGCAGGCACCACAGTCAAATTTTAGTTTTCAACTTATACATTAAAATTAGTAAAGGTACCTTGAAGGCATGCCATTTCAAAGTTCCATGCTATGTAGTAAAATATTCCACTTGCCAAATGTTTATCTTCAAGTTGAGTGCCTTACTGTGCATTTTAGTTGAGCTCTGTCATTTTCTCGAATGTGTGCCGTGCATGCTGTAGTAAATTTGCACAATACTTGGTTCACTGGCAGGCTTTACTTGTTACTACGAGTGTTGACAAGAATGGCAAACACTTCAAAACTACGTGCTACGAACAATTATTAGGTGTTAACCTTATAATTGTTTACAAGTAGTACTATAACTAAGTGTGTTAGACTTGCAAGAACATTCTTTCGTGCTTTCCTGCAAAGTGTAGCAAAAATATTTTTAAAAAGTCCTCTTTGCATTATGCAAGTTTTTATTAGCAGTGCCCTTGTCGAGAACATCTTAAACTTGACAGTATCTTGGGATGGCAATTTAGCATTGCAAATGAATTCTTATTGTCACTAGCCTATTAATGCACATTTTTCATCATTTACAATGATTCAAATGTGTGAAAAATGCTGTTTCATGTCAGCAGGGCACACAAGTGATATTTACTGTCTTTGCAGAGTACATACTGCCCTATATATTGATACAAATAGATCTTTTTGCATTTTTGGTTTAGGTTTCACATATAGTTAACGCCTGCAGTTTTTTGTATTGGCCAGAGGCAGAGTGTAAGTGTGTGCAATCATTCAGGCACTCTGTATCACAGACCATTCCAGCAGAATGCAGGGTTGCATCAGTAAGAAACTAACTTGCCAGAGTTACCATTATTTCAATTTAGCTTCTCACATTTAGACTGGGGGTATACATGGCTGATGACAACCGCTGTCTGAAAACTTGCAAGTCTCGGAAGCATGTGCAGTGATTGCTGCAATTGTAAATACAGTTCGAAATTTCTTGAGCTTTTCCACCTAATTTTTTATTCCAATATGCCTTCCCCTCTTGTTCTTAATTTTAAAGCCTTTCATAGCATGCAGCACATTGTAGTAGTAGCTTAAGAATCACTAGCCGTGTTTTGCGCCTTTCCCAATGTGTTTCCTATGTATTCTAATATTTCCTATGTATGTCAGAAAAGGAGGGGACACTGCTCTTAAGACTCCACGTATTGCAATAATTCAGCCTAAGTATAGAATTTTTTTCTATTCGGGTTCTCACAGGTTCACTGTGAAATGTGACATTTTTGTACCTTTGTACATCTTTCGAATGTGCCATATGATACTGTGTACCAGTGGTGAGTGAATGTCTATACATACCTAGAACATTGACGGCTCAAACTGGTCAAATAGGGAAGCAATGTTGAATGTCTGTAGGACTGAGTGTGCTGCGGAGCTGCAAGCAGTGTTGAATTGCAAATGCAGCTTAGCTGCGAATGTAGTATGCCAGAAAGGATGTCTGTGTGTGCAAAGGGGTAACTGTGTTGCATGTAGAAACTTTGTTAGTATGTTGGTGATGCGACTTTTGCCTCAAATCTGCATTCATTTATTTTTTCTTGAGCAAGATGGAAAACTGGGCTAGTTGGTGAGCATTCATCGTGGTTAACAGCGCGAAACACCCGGACAGGAGCGATAGAAGGACACGGTACAGCGCTGACTTTCAACTGAAATTTTTATTGAAAACACGAGAATATATATATAGACAGAACAGAAGACCTCGTGACCAAACCAGCCCCCTCAATCGATAAAATTTATACACGGCGACAAGGCTTTGTCATGTGCACGCAATCTTGCCACAAAATAACACATACTTCAAACTATAAGATTCCAATGTCGCCAAGAAAACCGGGCATGAGCAGACGAATGAACTTTAGCCACTATCTAACAAAGATAATTCATTACCAAGTAAGGCGATAGACGGCTGGCTAACGCATTGAGACCCTTTCTTATTTATAAAAATAATTATTTTTTAATAAAAATAATTTATTTTTTCTTTCTGTGTATTGATAGTCTCTTGATAACTTACTTCAGAAGGGCAAATTGTCTAATTTACAGTTCATCTTGCTGCTAGAGATGCAGTTGCATACAGTACTGTGAAGTTTCTTAAAATAATCAAAAACTTCTTCCTTAAGTTGTTTTTCACTCAGTGAGTGCTTTTATTGATTTTACCTTTATCATCTTTTCCCCTTATTGTTTTCATAAATTTATGGTAATTTTTTTTAGTGTTGCATTTGTAGTACAAATACAAGTACAATCCCTTTCAATACCTTCTGCAACCTTCTCAAATTTTTGCACACTGTAATTTCTCATTGCTAAATAGGAACTGTATACTTTTTTTTTGACATCATAATGTTTAGATGGTCTATAGTCAGTTACAACTTTAAGTCAGTGGGATTTCCTCCTCAAAGATGGACGCACACAAGTCTGCGCCACTGAGCATGTACTCTAAACTGACGTCATGAGCCGGATGGCCGTTGACTCCACCTGCAGAGAATGTTGCCAAGAGCGAGAGCGGGATTATTTCTTTAGTCGCTGAGGTGATCGGCTGCCGCGCTTAAGTCATCTGGGCGGGTTCTTCCCTGACTTGAACTATATCGAACTGTAGTCCTTTGGTCTGTCTTTATTTCAAGCATTTGGGTAGGTTTTTAATTCATTTTTTTTTTTTTCATGTGCCATCTGATGTTTTGCTTCATCTTCTTTTTCTAGTACTTGGCATATGTTAAGTCACCATTTTCTCATGTTTATTTTGCATGTTTCTTTTTTATTTCTGATTTAAGGTCAGCCAGATGAGAACGGAATTCAGTTGAGCCCCGTTGAAAAATGACCGCCACGGCAGTCCTAGCATTGCTGTTGTTCAAGCTCTCCTTGTGTACAGGATCATGAGCTGTCACCATCGCCTTCACATATGCCTGCCATACCGCCTTTTGTTTTGTCGATTTTTTGTTTGTTTATTTTAATGTGTGGCAAGTATTGCTGCCTGGCTCGATTCCATACATTCTCATCGTTCACTGCCTGCAAAAAGAAATGTGAGCATTTACTGCAGTCGCTTTCCTATGACGAGTTGTAAGCTGACGTTGATTGCATTGAAAGAGGTGTGGCAATGAGAGAGCATAGGGACATTGGGAGAAAGGGAACTGACGAAAGGGACAATGTACTGTGTGCATTTGTTAACCTGGGAGCATTGTCTTGTTTTTGTTACAGCTGCTTACTGTTCAGTTAAGCAGGAAAGCTTCTATATATGGTGCATCCGCTGTTGAAGGTGAGAACTAAGCTTAACAGCAACATAAAGGCATGTTGGGAAGGGTTGTGAAACCACAAAAGTCCCTGTGACACCTGAAAAGAGCAGCTGTATTCATTTCAGTGGAGATTGTTTACATACTTTTTATACCTTTCGAAACTGCTGTTGGTAATGTACATGTAGCACTTAGTCTAATGTTAGTTTCTGTGCTAACCACTATACCACTGATAGCTTGTTCTATATTTATTTTTGTATTGCTTTAATTGGCACGCAGTGAAATAACCGATTTAGTCTTAAAGTTGCAATAAGGAGCTTTTGTTACATTAGGAACCTCTGCTGAAGCCTACTTTATATAGCTGGGGCAGTCAAGAACTTGTTATCTAATATATTTCTGTTTTGCAACAGTGTTGAACCTTGTGTAGACCTTTGCTGCATATTAAGTGTTCTCATTCTCTTTTTTTTTTTTTCTTGTTTGGGTAGAGCTGCACAAAAAGTTTTTCTCTAGCGCTAACTAGTTTTACTGGTGGTGGAAATCGGTCAACCATTAAGGCAAGTTATTCAGTGCAGCAACTGAAAAACAATAGTGAAGCTTGACGGGTTGAATGCTGAACATTTTCAATCCTGTGTGGTGTGAAATCATTAATGCACATCAACTCCAGATGCTTCTAACCACTCACCTGTTTTGTTCTGGCACAGTATTACTGCTTTTTTTTGTTTTTGTGTCTATTCAGTTTTTATAAAAGCTATACCACTTATTTTTTACTTTATGTGGAATCGACCTTCTTGGACATGGCAGCTTCTTATTTCTACAATTGTGAATGCAACTAGACACTTTGGTCAGTGTAAGGCTGCTAAGAAGTCATATCATTTTGTTTAGCTGAGTGGAAGGGTGAACCTAAATTCATACTTCCAGATCGATGGAGAAACTGAACATTTTATCAATGGCATGTGGCCGAGCTATATTATATTTGCTTTTTATATAGTGATGCAGCTATACATATCACAGTGTTCTTTATGCCATTTGTTAATTCAGAACATGAAGCATTGCTGAACAGATCAGAGTATGCAGACACATACCCCTAACACGCGTTTACTGGCGTGTATGGTAAGCCACATAGCTACTCTCCAGGTTCGTAAGATATTGCATATTCCAATTAACCCTTGCCTAACTGGTGTGCTCTTTGGGGCCTTGTACAGTGATTGCGATGCACCAGTGTGCATTGAACGGGTCTTTGTAAGCCACTTGGCATGACAGTTGATTCCATCAGTGTTTTTCATAGATGTCTCATCTCAAGGTTGACCCAAGTGTGACCGAGGTGTAGGAACTTCAATTTCGTATGTATGCTCTGGAAGTTCTTCAAAAGGTGTGTACTCTTGTTAAATTTTTTCTTCTGACTGCACCAGGACCGCAAAATGTTGTGCTCTCTCAAGTCGGCAAGTGAATGAAGTGCGCAGTCATGAAACATTGCACCTGTGGTGTTCGCGTGGATCGTTGGACTGAACAGAAATGTGATGAGTGGTCATATTAGCATTACTGTGCATATCAGACTTCCATTTCTTGTGAGCCATTGTCATTTTTTAGCTGCATTGTTGAAACAATTCCTGTACTGTCCTTTTGTTTCTTTCAAACTTCCATTGTACAACTTGGCAGATGTGTTGATCATGTGTGAGTGCTTTATATGATGATGAAAAGAAATAAATGATGCAGTTAGGTGACCTGATGCAGTATGTTGTCTTTTCTATTCATTACATTGGTAGATAAGAAAATTTAAATGACATGTGCCATATCGAAGACATGTTACCTACAAGAGCTCTTCAGTATGTACCACTTGTATGTAGGTAGTGTACATTCATGCAGGTGCACTTAAAAATGTTTACTTATGCAATATTTCTGTGAATGTGCAAAGTGACTTTTTTTGCTTTCTTTAAATATATAAATACATATAGCACAAGTTTAGCGCTCGGTACTAGAAATTGTGAATGGTCGAACATAAATTCTCTGTTGCTACATATTCCAAGCACCGAGGTAAGATTTGGTTGCTGTATATTACATAAATTTAATAAAAATTACTCAGATTTTAATAATCTGCTTAGTTACTGCAATTATGAAATAACTTGATGCTGATGGCACAAAAAAGCTGCATAATGCACCAGAATGTGTTAGGCAAAAAAGACTTCTTCTTCCCTCTAACTATGCACATATTTCCTGCTTCTCTCCTTCCTTCAGTCACTCTACTTTTTCATTGCACATACATTGATTCACTAAACAGTGAGATGTAATTAAGTATTACACAAATGCCTTATGGATTAATAAAAAGAAGGAATTTTCAAGGGCTCATTTGTTTGACACAAACTCAATGTATACCAGCAGGTAATGAAGCCAAGGCAGGTATAGGGAAAGTTAATTGTACTGTTTTATTGTTTACTTTTGTAATTATTATGATATAGATGTGAAGAAAACTAAATTGGACAAAGAAGACAATCTGCCTCTGGCAGAGACCGCACCTGTGACGGATCCGAAGGTCGCAGGTGCCGTCGTCTCTGCCAGTGGCAGATTTTCTTTTTTGTCCAATCTATTTTTCTTCTCATCTATATCATAATGATTACTATAGTAACCCTAAAACAGTACAATTACCTTTTCCTATTTCTTCCTTAGCTTCACTGTCTGCTGGTTTACTATAAAAGCTCCTCACAGTTACCTAATTGAGTCGTGCTGCAGCGCTGCAGCACGCATCGGAAGGCCAGAAAGTAGGAATTCAAGAATAGCATCATTTTCATAAATAAGACTGACTGAAGACTGATCTGGTAAGTAACATTCTCTTCTACAGTTGGTCAGGCTAGAGCAGCATTTATAATGGCATTTTTGCTATGTTAACATAGCATTGTTATAGTCACACTCAAATTTGGGGACAGGTACAGTTATATCAAATATAAATAACGCACGGGCCTTCATACACATACCTGTGAGTTGTTCTATGGTTGCGCCATTCTTTTAAAGAGCGGATTCATTAACAGTGCAATATGCTCGATATTACTGTTAGGCAATTACTGCAAATCTCAAGTTGGCAGTGTACCCTACAGTCTTGCAGTTGTGAACTTCACTTATTCATATCGCCCCCAATGCCTGCCCCTGTTGTGACTGTCCCAGATATGAAATTTTGATCCTGAATAAGCTTTGCACACAACGACCTAAAAATGAAACTTGTGCAACCTCGACACTCAAACATTTTTCTGTATAGGTAGACAGATTATTAAAAACATTGTTGATCACACTAAAATTAATTTATGTGCATATGTGATAACAAATATACCCAACCTCATGTGTTTAATGTGAAACAGTGATACTACCATGTGTCACCATTTTTCAAAATGTAGTGCAATAAATATTTTCCATAATGTACATTGTGCTAAATAAAATATGAGGAACAAGTGTAATAAATTGAGAAACAAAATGGCCTCGGACAGCTTTGGTGGCAAAAGCGACAGATCTTTTGGAGATCGCTGCCATAAGACAGTGCTTGAGTGTGCCCATTTGTTTACAAAAACTTTCTAGTCTACCACTAAATGCTCGCTAATGACACAAACGAGACTCTCTCTATAAATGAAGGAATGTGTAAATTTCAGGCTCGTATTGTGTCTAACAAAGAAAAACGCCCTAAATTTACACTTTCATTCATTTATAGTGAGGGTCTCATTTTTGCAAACTTGATGCCTTGAGGTGGAACATGAGGTATTATGCAAGGGATTATTGGTCAGCTGCCATCTCGCAATAAGGTCACGTACTACACGACTACAAACAGGCAAAAAAAAATTGTTTCACACTTGCTGTAGTGGCAGCAGGTGGCACTGACTAACACCATGTTTAAGTGCACATAGTATATACCCCATTATGTGGACGGGGGGACGACCGCTACCGTTGCTCAGTGGTATCGGACGTGTTATTCGTAGGTCGCAGGTCCGGTCCCTGCCAGTGGCAAATTATCTTTTCTTTCTTCACATTTACATTACAGTTACTTCTAATAACTCCCCCTATGTATATCCTTGGCATTATTGCTTATTATTTCTCATTGATATAAGGAGGCGCCGAGCCATGCGGTCGTCTAAACATCGGCTTCTGCTTTTTCACCATTTTTCTGTGAAAAGTTAGCTATGTGTTTGATGCATTTTGCTCCAGTCGACGCCTGAAGTATTGAGGACCACGTGGAAACAATTTTGTCACGGTGGGTGGATCTTTTGCCGACTAATAAAGGACTTCTTTGCTCAACCACGCCGTGACTTAATAGGCCTAAAGTTAGGCTTAGCTAAGCCTGACGCTAGTCTTCGCGAGTTTGAGCTACTAAAATGGTTATGCAAGTCATTGTGCAAGGGGGACATTTCTCCAGAAGAATTCCAGTGTGGTTGTACATGAGGAACAAGAATTACAGTGTTCTGGATGGACAATGGTGCTTTCTAAGCGGAAGTCAACTAAAGCACCCGTGGTGGGCGATGAAGTTCAAGGCCCACCATACGGCAAGAACGCTGGCACCCGATCTCCCGCCAACGTGAAAAAACGCTTCGCCAACGTGTCAAGGCTGCCTCATCTACCAAGGGAGCATTTTCGAATCATTGTTAGGCCTCGGGGAGGCCTGAACGTTAAGAATACCAGTAACGTCCGGATTTCTCAAGCCCTCACGATAGCGGCGCGTCTCTCCGCTGCGGATATCACAGAAGACACCATTTGTCCTGACGCTATGCAGAACATTGTTGTGATTAGTACGCCATCGCAAGTGTAGAGGCCATCACCGTTAATAACGCAGGGTGCAAGGTTAACTCTTACATTGATGCACCCGACAGCACATGCAAGGGCATCATCAGAAACATCGATATGGAAATTGACGATGAAGAGCTCAGAAGTCTTCTTATTCAGCTGAGCAATTCCACTGTTCTCGAAGTGCAGCAAATCAAGAATTCTACCTCAGTCGTCATCCTCTTCGAAGGACTTCGTGTCCCAAATTACGTCATTTGCTGCCCCGGCATAGTCAAGTGCACCCTCTATTGACGGCAGACAGATGTCTGCTATAGCTGTGGTAGACTCGGCCACAGAGCCGACGTGTGCCCCACTCCAGGAAATGTTATCTGTCAAGGTTGCGGATTGACCTCCCTTGGCGACCAGCACGTTTGCTCACCGAAGTGCGCCTTCTGTGGAGGGCCTCATCCAACGGCCGACAGAACCTGTATACAAAGATTCTAGATACCTTACATCGTCAGACAGCGTAGAAGAAAGAGACGCGACTTTGACAAGGACTTCCCACTGATGCAAGAGCTGTCCGAACCGGCCAACAAGTCCAGGTCCCAGTCCAGGAGCTTGAGGGGGCGCTCCCGATACAGAAGCGGTCCTCAACCCACGAGCTGTTCCCAGTCCCGGGGCTGTTTCCAATCACGGGGCCCGGCTGTCAGCATTCAGGTACCTGCTGTCACAGAGACCGAGCGGGCTGACCGCGTCAAAGGATTCCAGAAGCAGGTAACAGGGGAGGGGGGGGGGGGGCATGCTGCCAGAGCAAAACAATGATAGAATTATTCAGCTAGAAAGGGAGAACGCTGCACTAAAGGAGGCGATTGCGCAACTTAGAGTCGAGATAGTCGCACTTAAGAATGCTAATAACGCTAAGAGTGAGGCTCTACAACCTCTTCAGGTCACTAGACTCGAAACGTCCGTTGAAACGCCTATATGGAAACGCCCGTGGAAAGCCCTTTTGATATCACCTTTCATCAAAAGCCCCTTTGATATCCAAGGCGAACACTACCTTATCATTGCTGGGATGCGTGATCGGCTCAATGACGTCACGATGGAGTTGAAGCAGTAAGTCCTCGGGCGCCGATAAGTTTGTCCGCTATGTGCGGGTTCGAGGTGCATACTAGGATCAGATTTTGTTCCCACACCATCACAACAGTGATTAGCCGTGTCGCAGTCACTCCGAAGTGAGCGATGAGCGCGCGTCCGGCACCGTTCTCGTGGAACGCGTCGGCGAGGGACAGCCGAGTCCGGGGTTTGAGCACGATGACGAAGTCCGTTGCTTTCGGCTTCGGCAAGGGTTGAGGCCGCCACAAAGGCTTTCGATGCCCCTACTTTGGGCCCACGGAGCGCTTCGCAAGCAACTAAACTGTTGGTGAACAGGCGCTTGCGTCCGCGTTGGCAGCTGCGGCCAGGGGCGCCGCGTCGGCGGAGGCCGCCGTGAGCGCGTTGCTCGCCGGCACTCGGCGAGCAAGTGCGGTGTTCTTGAAGGATTCGGGTAGCTCCTGTCGACTTTCCGAAGACGGGACGCTAGTCCACACCATGCTGTGAGGATCATATCTAGTTTGTGTGTCCGTCACGGTTGCGGTGTGAAGCCTGCCGTCCGTTTTACCGGGAGTTGCCATGATCACTAAGCCTAGCGACGCCACTGGCGTGGTCGAGACGTGAATCGCCCGTAGGAGACGTAGAAGGGGCCCATCTGCAAAAATGTGGCATCCAGATGAACCAGATCACATTCCAGTGACGGTGGTGAGACGTTCCCGGAGGTTAGATAAGGTAATCGGCGGTTCCGAAGAAAAATGGTCGGATCCGGGTCGGCCGCGCGCTCGCAGCCAACCCGTCGAAACACCCATGAAAGTGCAGTGTAGTGTTCGTCCAGCCAAAAAGAGGGCTTTGACGAGGCCCGCACTCGATGAGGAACTGCATAGTTTTAAAAGGGAGATCAGATACA